AAGTACCATTAAAGGAGAATGTTACTTTAATCTGCCAGTTTAGCCCAAATCCCAGTGTAAACGCAGAGAGGGGCTGGAGGAAGCAGGCAGTGGAATGTAATCCGTGCACCGACTGGCTGTTGGTTTGGAAGAAGAAGTCCGGTCTGGTGGCTCTCATCTGGACCCCATCAGGCTCCATGTCCCCGGGCGGTGAGACTGGCATCCCTGTACCGGGCCTGTTCCTTTATTAAAGCCTCTGCCTCCTCTGACCCAGCACACACACAGAGCGAGCCCCCGGGGAACGCAGACAGACACACACATGGTTCCCATAGGTCAGTTAGGTTGTTTGTGAGATGTGCGTTTGACTCCCTCGTGGCCACATTATGGATTTGAGTTTAGGTAAATCGGAGTGAGGGGCTTTGCTGTGTAAAACATCTGCTTAATGATAGTGTACCAAAAGGGAGGGGCAATTATACTCACAAGGAGGCCAAGCAAAATCAGAGACACATGACATGAATAAGGCACATTTTTACAGTATGACTCGCTAATGCGACATAGTATGTAACAGAAAAACAGATTGCATGGTACTCAGGGCTCGATCCACCTGCTAAAGGAGCCGCATTAAGCAAACTCAAGAGGCCAAAATGTAGCTTCAGAAAGAAACCCAAACTAAGTTGGATATGGATTAAATGGGTATGTTACACTTCTATCTCACGTCTAAGGCTGATTCAACCCAATAACATTGTTGCTCTAACCTTTTGAGGTCAAGCATGTTGTTATCAAGAAAAGAAAATCATTAGACACAGGAAGTGATGCATTTAAAGCCGGCGGGCGACAACAGTTCAAACAGAACCAACTGCGTAGTTTGCATGAGCAACAAGGCCATCATGGCTTTTACAGGAAGATAAAGTAACGAGAGCCAAAGAGGGCAAGATTGTACCAAGATAAACCACAGTTGGTAGGTTCTGTGATAGAAATAATGTATGATTTAATAATAAAGCTGATACACTAGCAACTGTCTGCTTGTTTGTTTTACCTTGATCCTAACTTGTTCCTGTTTGAACTCAAATAAAAATGTAAATGTATTCACATAATTATTGAGTTAAAGGCGGCACTGAATTCAACTAAAACAACACTTGATGCTTTCTTTACTTTATAAAAATAAATGCAGAAAAATAAGAGTTTGCTTTTGACAAGCTAACTTACATGAAACGCTAAAAGTACAAAAGAGAATCTTTCCATGTGTTTCCCCTCGATTCCTTTTTCTTTTTGGCTGACGCGTATAAATTTCCGGTATTCGAGTTTTCATTGCCTTTATTGTAATTATGTTGTTTTTGAGAATAGCGTAAGAACCCAGCTAGAGCCACAGCCTGTAGGGAGGGATCAGAAGCACATTTGTCTGTTCTATTGCCTATTGTTTTGAACTTTGAAATGCAATGCAGGGATAGATCTATAAAGATACACTAAATGCAAAAGCTGTAGAGCAGGGAAGAGATGAGACCATCTCCAGACCCCGCAAATCTCACTTATATTGCATTTAGGAGATAAAACACAGGCTCGGTTACGTTTACAAAGAATTTGCTCCTTGGCCTCTAAAGAAATCCTGCAAATCATTGCATCCCTCTGAGGCACCTACAGAGGACATTACTGTCTTAGTGGAAAGAACAGTAAGAGCTGACTCTTCAGTCTCTGATCCCTTATCTGAGAATCTGACCATGCCTTCAATGTGAAATCATTTCAAATGCAATCCTGATGCATTCAACTGAGAGCAACACACTGGTCTGAGCTCTCACTGAGTTATGTTACAGTATCTTACCTATCATACTTCTAATAGAAAGAATAGTGCGTCGGGCCATGATTGTCCAGTGAACCGTACACAAGTAGAACGCAGAATGATAAATCACAGACAAGCTATTTCATTTACTACTTTTCCCCAAAATATTGTCCAACAAACATATTTGCATATTTCCAGGCCACACAATTTTGATATAATAAAATGTTTCTTTCAAGATATTGTCACTTACATTTCTTACAGTCTTACAGTCAAAGTAATTAAACCTCGCCGAGGTTTTTAAAGAAGAGAATAAAATACAATTAATGCACAAGATTAACCGATCTATTTGAGTATTTGGTATTTGTGTCTATTAGTGCTCATTTTAAATTCAAACATTGAAATGAGCTAGTTATCTTGAGAAAGCAAAGGAGACAAAGCTCTTTACGGAGAGATAATAGAGTAGATATGTGTTAGTTTGTTTTCTAGTTCATTCTGATTCTTTTCTCTTTTTTTCTATTCCACATGCTTTGCAAAAACGTATGTAATATGTAATAACATGTTGGACAGCCTAATGTTTTGCATGACACAAAGAAAAAAAAGGAAATGAATAGTTAGATAGTTTTCATACAAATGACAAACTTTGATTTATAAAATGAGAAATAACATATTTTACTTTAACTACAACATGATAAACAACATTTGTGTTGGAGGTACACTGTAGCTGTGCACATAATAATAACACCTTTGAATCTGGAATCTGGAAAATAATATAAACCTTCAACAGAGATACATATACTTAAATCAACATTTAGATAAAATCATTAATTGTAATAACACCATTTAGGTAAAGTAGAAGCAATTTTAAGCAATGCAAATAAATCTAGAACAACTTAATCGACTAATAATCAATAAGAATGATGGCTGCTCCTCCCAGCTCTGTTTCCTCTGCACTGATTCAGGTTATCACATTGGGAAGGACACCACAAAGGAAGCCATGATAAGATAGCTTTGTTTGTATCCCAGATAAAGCCATGCCAAGACACAGACTGCTGTTCTGGCCAAAGATCGTTGACAGACATTAAAGCAGGCACTAAAAACTGGGACTTAGGGGAAGGAAAGTGAGGAAGAGGACAGAAAGACACAAAGATCAGGGAGGACAGATAAGACTGCCAGCACAAGTTTAGTTTATCACAGCAGATAGTTAGAAATGTCACCACATGGCCCTTGATCATTGTTAACATCTTAATAAGACTTGAATTGTCTCTCTGGTGTTGCAACACTCTTTGCATAATGTGAAGTGTTTATTCTAACCCTGCTACTTTTGTGTCGATTGAAAAAGAAAAAATGTAATTGAATCAATTTTGCCTCTTCAGTGTGCTTCGTGAGAAAAGTGACCGTCCCTAATATTTTGCACATTCACTCCACATATTGTGCATTGTTGTCTAGTCCGCTATGATATTGTCCATCCTGTGCCTGCCTTGCCTTGAGGAGCAAATGATGCATGGTTCGTTTAAGAGAGTCTCATTGGCCGAGGGCCACTCAGACACCTGAGTCCCAAAGGAAGGCGGAGGTCTGCTGAGTGAAACTAGAGAGCTTCATTGCATTACAGCGCCGCAAGACAGATAACACACTACGATAAAGTGCCTTGAGGGAAAGAGAGAGGAGAGAAGATGGCCGTGATAAGACCAGCTTCCAGACTGGAACCGGCCATAGTAACTTAATATGATTTTTATCTGAAGAGATAGAGCAGGATGACCACTTGTTAGGATTATCACATCTTAATGAGTAATAAGTGGGTCTATTTACATTTTGTATTCATTCACACTCAATCTTAGACAAGATAACAAAAAAAAACACGAGTCCTGCATGGAAAATACAACAAGAACTATTTTTTGCAACCATACAGAAAACAGAATAACCCTTTGATTATTCAATAAAGCCATCACCAGTACAATCTTTAGCCTTAGGGACAGATCCAATACTACCAGACGGCTTCTTCCTGCCCTGCTGCATCTACTCAGATAAACCCTGCTATCACCTCTCACACACTCTCATAAGGTAAATCAGCTTGTATGTAGGCATGCACACACACACACACACACACACACACACACACACACACACACACACACACACACACGCACACACGCACGCACGCACGCACGCACGCACGCACGCACGCACGCACGCACGCACGCACGCACGCACGCACGCACGCACGCACGCACGCACACACACAGAGAGCAGTACTTGCTCCCATATGTGCGAGGGGAAGTTGAGTAAAGGAGGGAGGGATCAAATAAGTAACAGAGTCACACAGCTACACACAACACAACTCAGTCATTTTCTGTGATCAGCCTCCAGGTGAGGAGATCACACCAGGAATCCTTGTATCAAGAAACCCAACGAAGAGGAGACAAATCACTCTGACTCAACCCCTAGAGCGAGAGGAAGACCTCCCCAGACCGTTACCTCGATGCTTCATGAAGGTGGAGTCATTTGGGGGTAAATCGATGAGGAGAGAACACAGATGGATTATCTCACATGCGCCCGGATTGACCAGCGTTCCTTTTTAAGTCTCGATTCCTGCTTTTTCTCCTCAGACTGAAATCTGAAAATCACTTTCTGCACATGTGGAGTGAAGCAGCTATTGGACAGGTAGATTGCCTTTTTCTTTCATTGTACTGGAATTAAGGATTTTTTTTCACATGGCAATCTTTCTGACTGGATATCAGTGAACTTTATATCTTTTTATTTTCTGTTTTTTTATTTATTTAGAAAGTGCCTGGAAATAAAAGGGTCACACTGGAGCAGCCGAGTATAGTCAACTTCTACAAACAATTTAGAGCGATTAGAAAACGTAGGGGAAGTGGAAAAACAGGTTCAGTACTGGAATAAACTCAAAAAGTAATCGGTGTGTTGTTTTTGTCGTAATCTTTGTTCATTCAGACTGTTTTATTTTCCAAAACAGACTTTCTGATCTTCAGCCTAAAACTTTCTCGTGGAGAAGAGGACTCAGTGGAATATCAGCCTGAAACACATTGACACATTGTTGAACACTATCAAAAATAATTGAGAGGGAAAGAATCTTATCCAGGTGCTAAATAATTGGGACTCTGCAGGGGGACCACCTCGCCGCGTCTGGACTGTGGAGGGCTCCCCTCCCTGCCCTCCCAGCCTTTTCTCGCCCCCAGCAGCATGTCCCAGGCTCTGAGGCTGCCTGTAGTCCTCCACACAGCACACTACCATGATCAGATGGGCTGCTGGAGGGAGTAAGGCTGCCTCTGCCTCGTCCTGCTCCAGGGCTGGGTTAGGGGCTCACGCTGGGACCAGACTGAGGTCCCCATCCACACTGCTTTCCTCCCTGTCTTTGCCTCTCCTGGTTGCCCTGGTGTTTTTTTCCTTCTCCCTACCGGGGGCAGCTTGCCATCAGCCCCGCAGAGACAGACTAAGGCTCGCCAACCCTCGAACTCTCAGGGTCCCACTGAACATTTCTGAGACTGAGGTCGTGTCTAGGCCCAGGGCCACTGGGGGCCCCCTGGGTCGGACTGGGGGGCCACAAGGCAGGCATGTGCGCAGCTACAATCATCTCACAGGGGACATGCGGAGGAGGAAGCTGTTCTCTTTCCAGAAGTTTTTCCTGAGGATCGATAGGGACGGAAAGGTCAATGGAACCAAGAGCAAGGATGACCCCCTCAGTAAGTAATTCCTGGTGATATAAATGTGCAAAGGTAGACAGAAAAGAAGGAAGCAGACACCAACGATGATCTGAGTCTAGGTGGTGGTGGCTGCAAAAGTTAAATGTGAGAAGAAGCCAGGCTCATTTGAGCACACACATCAGTTTTTACAGCCAAACTGCCTGTGTTAAATTAAGGCTTTTAATCTATGCAGCCAAACATTTTGACCTTTTAAGGCATTTGTTTATCACACACAACAAAGAGCACCTGTGGGACATTTATTGCAATAAGAAACCCTCTTAAATGTTTAGTTATTTCTCATTTGACAAATCAGGTGGTTGTTCTTTATAAGAAATGCATAAACTGGATATATTACTCTGCGTAAAACATCACATTTATATAAAAGCATGTTTCTTGGATGATATTCTGAGACTGCCAGCCTGCCCATTGGTTGGTCGTTTGGATGAAGTCATATTTTGTTTTAAACCAGACATCCCACTGGTATCTCTCCTGTCCAAACGTTCAGCACAATGATGGTAGCTCTCAGATGGCTTAAAAAGGAGCAGGGGCAGATAAGGCAGCCATTATCAGGCTGTCTTCACAGCCCTGGTTAAACAGCACTGATAACAACCACAGAAGAACAGGGATAGGGGTGCGAGGGGGAAGGATATGGTTGTCAGTCTCATCGATGCTTTCCGACTTTTTCTGCCTGTCTGTGTCTGTGTCTCTCTCACTCTCCCACTCAGTTTGCTCGCCTGCCAGCCATCGTCCGGCAAATTACATACCCTCCATGACAGATCAGACATTTGTTTAAAGCAGTTTGACATGCTGCACTCAGAGAAACAAGTCTTTAGAGTGATTACACGTTGTATGTTTCGGGATATCAGTCAGTTAAATAGCTTTCTCATTAGTCTTCCAGTGTTCCCACCGAGCTAAGTGTGTGTGCCTATCAGCCAGCGGGCACTCACATGCTTCAGTGAGTGTGTGATCATATAGCAGCGGAGGATGACACATGTGCTCCCTTATTACTGACACACACACTCACACATACAGTATACATCTCTCACATGCTCTTTTTTCCCTCCCTCCCTCTCCCACTCTGTCCCCCAACCCAGAGTGTATATGGAAGCTTTTAATGTTCCTCTTGGGAGAGCTAAACCACATATTCAATCAAAGTGACTTAGGGGAAATGGCATGGGGAGGCATAATGTCAGGGGAGATGTTTGTTTTGACAAGGTCATGAAAGAGGCAACTTTATTTACTGACCGTATAACATCGCAATGCCTTTACTGCATTTTTGTTAGTGGTAGTAGTAGAATGTTCTTTTAAGTTGTAAAACTGAAAGGAAGTCTGACTCAGTTATCATAACAGTGGTGTGTGAAATCACCCCAAACTTTATGTATGTTTGGAAGAGGATTTACCACTCTGTCTTCTTTTTTATTGGCCAGCACCCTTCTCATTTTTAGGAGTGTGTTGCCATTTCCAAAAGTCAGTTTGAGGTAGTTCAGAGTGAGCATTGAAGGGAGGTGAAAGGGAGCACAGGGGAATCTCTAGAGGTACAAGTTCATGAATGACATGGCTGAACATCATTGTGGCCACATCAAAGCCGCGCGTCTTCAGTATCAATGGTGGTGCCATCAAAAAGCTGTGTCCTGGGGGGGGTCTGAGGACACTGTGTGTGGATTATGTGCCCTCATATCAGGTTCACACGGTAAAGGATACTACACAACAGCAGCTTCAGTCTTTGCTCTGGCCCCTGGGGCTAGACATGATCCCAGGGCTGACGTCCTTTGTAGACCCTCGATGGTCCCTTGAAGTGACAAAATATCAAGTTTTTTTGCGATGAGTGGAGGATGGCTTACCTTTTGCTGAGCCAGAAGTTGCAAGACAAATCACACTACATTGATTTTTAGCAATAGATTCATTTATAGATTTACCATGCTTTTCCTAGAGGTGTATGAGATGTGGAGGCTTTGGTTTTGGGTGCTGTCTGTGGCCCTGCGAGGACCCGGCTCACTGTCTGTTAAAGAGCCAGTATCCAGCCTCCCACAGATTTATGGGGATGCCAGC